ATTTCATTTGTAGGTTTATTGGGTTTGGATATAGGTAAAACGATTGTAGAGCGCCACGTGTGAGTGTAGCGGCCAGAATCGAATATATTGTTAAAGGTGTGTAGGAGTTATATTTTTGCGTCGGTGGGAAGATGTTTGAGCATGGGGTAGGATATTCTGTCATATCCTGGGGTGTTCCCCTTTGAATGCTGTAGAGCTAGTTCCAATTCTATAAAAGTTATTTCAGAATCTAGATCGATTGCTGTTTTTGATGTTGGCTGAAAAATGTATGATTTGGCTATAGTAACGCTTTTCGCAGCCTTGTACTCTGACAAAAAATTTGAGTCATTTGAGTAAATTGACCACGTTTCTGCAAAAGAATTTGCTATTTCTATTGAAGAAGTAAGTAGGCTTTGATTGTAGTTGATTGACCTAATTGGTGTATAGGGGACTCCTGTTAACGATTTTATGTCAGCATATATTTTCTTTGGTGTTGATGCCGGTGATATGGAGGCTGTAAATTTTTCAAAGCTTGCTTTTATTGCTTCCTTCACTGTGCGCCTGAAAGTAAAATTGTCTCTTTTGTAACATATAAGATTTTCGATTGTTTGGCAATTTTTGTAGTTATGCCAGCTGTTTTGTTTTTTTTGGCGTAATATATTTAATTCGGAATTCCACCAATAAGTGGAGGTTTTGTGGAAGGACGGACTTGTTTGGGGAATGGATTCGTTAGCAGATTTCTTTATGGCTTTTGTGATTTTGGCAATTTCTTGATTTATGTTAATGCTCTGGAGATTTTTGAAGTTATTTTTGGATATTGATTGGTATAGGGTCAAGTTTGCTCGGTCAGTAATGAATTTTGGGATAGGTTTGATTTTTTCAAAGTAAAAATTTGTTGAGATTTGTGTCGGGAAGTGGTCACTGCCATACAAATTGCTATTAATGCTTCAGTGGCATCTTGGCAGGAGGTATGCCGAGACTATGGTGAGGTCGACATGCGTGAATGTTTTGTGGGTGGAGAAATGAGTAGAGGATCCGTTGTTTAGGACTGCTAGGTTCTGCATAAGTACTACGTTTTCAATTTTGTTTCCTCTACTATTTGTTTTATTCGATCCCCATAGTGGGCTAGACGCATTGAAGTCGCCAGTCATGATTATATGGGAATTTACTTGGTAAATAATCGATGATAAGTCATTTTCTGTGAAAGGTTGGCAAGGTGGAATGTATTGGTTTATTACGGTAAAGTTTAGATTTAAATTAATTTTTATTGCGAGTATTTGGACATATGAGTTGATTATTATACATTGGTGAGGGATATGGTTGTTCAGAAGAATGGCAATGCCTTGTTTTGCAGATGATATGTTATTTAAATTAAAAAAGTAGCCAATGTATGGTTTTGGAGTTATTGTACTGCTTGTGTTTAGAGGTAAATGTGTTTCTTGGATGCAGATAATGTCAGGGTTTTTGTTTTTTATTAGTTCGCCGTAGTTGTTTATATAACCGTTTATGTTCCACTGAATTATTTTTATATTTATACTGCAGTTTACGCAGCTTGGATTATTTTTGCAGTGTTTGGCTGTATGGCCAAGAATCTGACATGATTTGCATCTCATTGGATTCGGAATGTACTCTCTTATCTTAAGAGAGTATCATGAAACGTCGATTTTACTTAGTAATTTGTGAAGGTCAAATGATAGCAGCACTACTCCGCTAGGTAAAAGGGTACCATTTACGTTGTTTTATAATTTATAGACATCTAATACGTTTTGGGCCTTTAACTCTTTAATTATTTCTTCATCTGAGATATTGTTTAAGCAGGGGGCAGAAATTGTTCCCTTGACAGTATTTAGATTAGTATGTAAATTGCATGAGATAGAGCTTATTCCCGGTAATTCTTTTGTACGCACAAAACCATCGGCTATTGCTTTTGATTTTACTAGCAGCAGAACCGTCTCTTATTGGTTGTAATTTTATAATCTCTTTGCTTTTTGCGTACAGTGCTCTCTTCACAATGAAGCAAGAGTAATCGGACAATGACGCGTTTCGATCAGCTGCGGACACTACTATGAATTTTGGGGTTTGCTCTTTTACAACTGGCAATTCAGGGAATTTTTTCGTATGTTTTTTTTTCATTTTTGGGGTATTATCTAATATGGCAAACCTATTTTCGTCCAGATTAGGGGGCCCTGGGGTCATTTTTTCACAAAGAATCGATACGAATTAGATTCGCTAAAAGTGATGCGCGCCTTAAGTAAAACAAAGCAAAGGAATAAGGTGGAAGTACGTGTTACGCACTAAAGCACAGAAAACTAAATTATTCGTCGCGAGTGATAGCCGATGACTGACGTTATATAGTTTAATATTGTTTACATAAGCCACATCATTCTCTTCTAGATCATTTTTTTTTGTTGTTAATATCCAGAGAAGTAGGGATAACACGTCTCCTTGAGATGTATTTGGCTCATTTCAGACTTTGGTCGAATTATAATATGTAACATATTGCAAAAATATAAAAATTCTCAACCAATATTGTATATATCGTATTGTCCATATATGTAAGGCCGTCGACGGCAGGTACTCACGTTAAACACACCGGACGTTGTCCATATATGTACTATATAGGTATAAAGTATTTTCGCCAGCAGTTTGCAAGGAACTTGTTAATATTATATTTGAAATTAGTGTTTTAAGCTAATCGACCGCGCACGTGTCTATTTAGTTAAAAATTTCTCTTTTTTGTTAATAACAATTTAATGTAATTTGTGATTTTACTCGAGAGTGAGTTGTGATCTTACTGTCAATAATTTTTCTGTTCATTAAAGGTTTTTGGTAAATTACTGTGGTGCTACTATATTTTATGTTTTGTAGCGTACGTTGACATAGTTTTCTCATTTATGTAAATGTTACAGAATTATTGCCTTAATTAAGCTTTTTGAGTTCATATAATATATAGTTCATATGTAAGGAAGTACTTAATATTTTCGAAATAGTGCCATATGCAATTTCGATTTATAGAAAAGATTGTCAAAACTGTAGTGCACTTTCAACATAATTTAAAATATATTACCTATTATTATAACTTCATTATTTTCGTAAATTTGTTAAATTTTTTCTTGCAATGATCGTTTTGACAGTATTATTTAAATTTATTTAAACTCTTTGAATTTTTAAAAATCGTATAATAATTTGCATCTACTAAATTACATCTACGGCTAACTAAGAACATACATACTGCTATTATATTTAAGGGGAGTTAACTAACGTTATTTTATTTTTTATGATTGATTGATTCTTTACAGTTGATGCTGTTGAAGTTGATGCCTAAATGATTTATGCCTGCTTTTAATATGGATTTGTAATTTAAACACATATGTATATCTGATTCGTATATTCTTTACAAAGGCTTTTCTCTCAAACTATGCGTAACCAATATCGGTGCTAACACAAATTATAACAAGCCAATAACTTATCATTAATGACTAAAAAAAAAAAATGATCTGTATAAAAGTCACTTACACCTAATTCTATTTTTACACGGTAGATTGGATCCATAAGTAAACCGTATAAAAAAACGGGGTTAAAAACTGATCATTCCCCCAAATTTGTGCAATTTACAATTACTCTGACCAATAAACTTGGTGGTATTCACAAAAAGGGATTTATTTTAATTTGTGATATATACATATTTCGCAAAAATTAAATCTGAAAAATAAAATTTAAGCCCACAAAATTTTGAATCGTGCTCAATGGAAAAAAATTGTGTAAAAAATTATAAATAGTTTTATTTTCAAACCGTGTAAAAACAGAATTAGGTGTATTTAAGTGTAGGGATACGTTTTAACAGGATCTACGCATATTATTATAATGCTATTGCTATCGTTTAAATATCCACACTTAAATAATATAGTGAAAAACTTTCGAATATTTTGTAACAGGTTAATTTATTGTTTAGAAGATAAAACAAATTTATTTTGTACTGATTGTGTTTTTACGTGTACATATATAAATGTATTTATACGTATACCATATACTTATATCAATTTTATATGTTTAACTAAATTTTTTTATATATACCCTATATGCACGTACAGTGTAAGAGTAAGTAATTAAAAATATCATGCAAATTATTACTAAACGAAACAACCAATTATATGTTGCGTTTCCTTTTATTTTATAATTTTAAGTTGATAGTGACATTAAGTATATGAGTTTTTACAGACAGTGCTCATATAGGAAAAGTTCCGGACAAGACAACTAGATTTAGATTTGTATTCAGTTTTCTATGAGTTTTTTAAGGAATAGTGGACAAAATCACGAACGGTTCGTTTGAAATTATGGAATAAGAAATGATGATAAATGATTTATGCCTACTTTAAATATGGATTTGTAATTTAAATACATATGTATATCTGATTCGTATATTCTTTACAAAGGCTTTTCTCTCAAACTATGCGTAACCAATATAGGTGCTAACACAAATTATAACAAGCCAATATTCCTTAAGAAACTCATAAAAAATTTAATACATACACATATAGGTATATCAAGTTGTTTTGCACTTGAAATGAAGATTCAGTTCTCGTACCGTTGACCGTCAAAATCCTCATAAAAACTTTGATAATTCAATATATATATATATATATATATGTACATACATTTAAAATATAAGTTAGTTGGGGATGTTTTATGGATACCTGAATGTAAATTCTACATTTTTATTTACTAATCTTTTACTGCTTCATTCACTAATTTGCTTATGCGCTCACAAAATAAAATAAAATAAAATATTAAACATGATTAAAACACCCTAACAAAAAAATAAATTATGACCTGAAAATAACAAAGGGCGCTAAAACAATCCCTTAACGGTAAGTGTTTACTATGAATACATATTTAAGTCAATATGATAATTGTATCGGAATAGTAATCAAAATAAGGCATATATTATGTACGAATCGTTATTAATTGGCTTATTTTGTATAACAATTTCCACAATATGGATGTTTAATATTTGCTTATAGATCCTGACTTAGATCCGTATCGTCCTTCCCGTAAATTTTCTGCACCTCTATCATTGGATGATCCCGTTGGTGAAGAAACCAAAGAAAAACAACGACTTCGACAAGAGCGCCTAATGACTGTTCGCGAGGACGTTTTAGACGAAATTCAATTAGTAAAACATAAAGCTCTTATTACGGATGAGTTACAGGACCGAGAAGAAAAGTAAGAAAAATGTTTTTCAAGTAGTTAAATATACTGTAACCACATTTATAAAAGTTATGCCAATTCTGATCGCTGCATACTTGTTATAAACTAATAAATGTATGTATATATATACTTATGTATATATATATAGGGAACACTTTACAAAGTTATATACAAGCTTTAAAAAACGATACATTAGAAATAGCTTTTCTTAAGTTCGAACATTTAATTTTGCAGAACTCTAGAAGAGAGTATTAAACGAAAGTCCAAGGAAGATACTAAGAAGAAAGAATATGCACTTAAAGCCGAAGAAGCACGATTAGCTGAAGAAGCACGATTGGCTGAGGCAGCACGATTAGCTGAAGAAGCTCGATTAGCTGAAGGTGCACGATTAGCAGAAGAGTCACGATTAGCTGAAGAAGCTCGATTAGCAGAAGAAGCACGATTAGCTGAAGAAATTCGTAAAGCTGAAGAAGCCCGTTTAGCAGAAGAATCTCGTTTAGCAGAAGAATCTCGTTTAACAGAAGAACTTCGTATTGCTGAAGAAACGCGTTTGAAGAAAGCTGAAGAAGATAGGTTAGCTGAAAAAGCACTTCAAGCAGAGGAAGAGGCTCGTAAAGTGGAAAAAGCTCGCTTAGAAGAAGAAAAACGACATCGTGAGGAAGAAATGATCCGTCTAGCAGAAATTGAAAAGCAAGCTGACGATGAACATGAGAGAGAGTTGGCTCGTCAGGCAGCAGAACTAGCTGAAATAGCGCGCCAAGAAGCAGAACTTGCAGCACAAGAATTGCAAAAAACTGATCAAATAAATTCGCAGGATTTAAATAATATGAATAAAGTTGCAGTTGAACCCATCATTGAACAACCAGTGACTCCTGTTGAAGAAAATCGTAGAGAACCTATTATTGAACTGTCGACCGAGATAGATGAACTTTCTGATGCTGAAGCCACTTCCGAAGCTCAGGAAGAAGATGTTGAGGAGGTGTGAAGTAGGTCAAACAATTCAAATTTACATTGATTTCAAAGGAATACAATTTTAATGAAAATGTGTTCAATATAATAATTTTGCTGAATTTTTGTAGCAGATTTTTTAAAATACATTTCTCCTTTTTTACTACATACTAAACTAGTTCCTTAAAAATATTGTGTTTGTTTTTAAATTACTGAAAGACATTTTTAAATTGATTAAAATAAAATACCAGCATATAAATTTACAGTGCAAATATTCCTTTTATATATGGATGTACTTATCCTTTGTGATTTATACATATTTATTTCAAGTTCTAATGTGCGGACCCGCAAGGCCTTATGAAATCTTAAATGTGAGTAGCCTTATATTTCAATGAAACTTTTTCGCGCTTCCCTTATATAGATATATTATTTTTGCGGTTATTATAGTTGCGGTTATAGTTGCCGTTCGGTAACCGTATGCCAAAGTATACGACTGAATATCGGCTACCTACCGCAGACAACTGAGTCTGCAGTCGCCACTTTGTGTATATAATCTATTATCATCAACCATTGTTATAGTACAACTCTCCACAATTTTGCGGTTTTAATATAATGAATATCTTTTAATAAAATACGTATACTTGATTATACTCTCGCAACATGTTGCTACAGAGTATAATAGTTTTTTTCAACTAACGGTTGTTTGCATCACCTATAACTAATCGAATTAGATATAGCGTTATATATATGTATATAAATGATCAGGATAAAAAGACGAGTTAAAATCCGGGTGACTGTCTGTCCGTCCGTCCATCCGACAAGCTGTAACTTGAGTAAAAATTGAGATATCTTTATGAAACTTGGTACACATGATTCTTAGAATCGCAAAACGGTTGGCACAAAACGCCATTAATCAAAAAAAAAATAAATAAATTGCCATAACTAAGCTCCAAAATAAAATAAAAAAAACTGTTATTTGGTATACAGGATCACATTAAGGAGGGGCATCTGCAGTTCAAATTATTTTTTGAAAATGGACCCCCGCCTCCTAATAGATTTAATGTGCATATCTCTTAAACCGCTAAAGCTATAATAACAAAACTCACTGAGAACAAATGTTTTTAGCACCTCTATCGACAGCTTAATGGGTGAAATCGGATGACAACCCCGCCCATTCCCAATTCACTGGTAGCGCCTCTATTGACGGCGTGAAAATGGGTGAAATCGGGTGACAAGCCCGCCCACTCCTCATATAACGGTATTGCTAAAAAATACTAAAAGTGCGATAAATCAAGCACTTAACACGCCAGAGTCATTAAATTTTAACTCAGGGATGGTATAAGATGACTTTATAGGAACCGAGTTCAAAATTAGACAGTAGGCGTGGCACCGCCAACCACCTTAATTTGCATAGTCGAAAGCGAAAGAATCTGATGGAATTTAAAATGTGTATAGGAAATAGGCGCGGTTGTAATCCGGTTTCACCCATTTCACGCACTATAATGTCACGTACCGAATTTGGTTGAAATCGGTTAAGCAGATCCCAAGATATGGGTTTTCACCTAAAAGTGGGCGGTGCCACGCCCACTGACTAATTTTGAACGCGGTTCCTATAAAGTCATCTCATACCATCCCAGGTGTACAATTTAATGTCTCTGGCGTGTTTAGTGCTTGGTTTATCGCGCTTTTAGTATTTTTTAGCAGTACCGTTATATGAGGAGTGGGCGGGCTTGTCACCCGATTTCACCCATTTTCACGCCGTCAATAGAGGCGCTACCAGTGAATTTGGTTATTATAGATTTAGCCGTTTAAAAGATATGCACATTAAACTTATTAAGGGCGGGACAACGCCCACTTTTAAAAAAATGTTTAACTGCAGATGCCCCTCCCTAATGTGATCCTTTGTACCAAATAACAGTCTTGTATCTTCTTGCGGAGCTTAGTTATGGTAATTTATTTGTTTTTGATTAATGGCGTTTTGTGGTCGTGGCAGTGGTCCGATTACGCCCATCTGCAATACCAACCGTCTCACGGTACCAAGAAACATGTGTACCAAGTTTCATGAAGATATCTCAATTTTTACTCAAGTTACAGCTTGCACGGACGGACGGACAGACGGACAGACAGTCACCCATATTTCAACTCGTCTCTTTATCCTGATCATTTATATATGTATAACCCTATATCTAACGCGACTAGTTTTAGGTGATACAAACAACCGTTAGGTGAACAAAACTATTATACTCTGTAGCAACAAGTTGCGAGGGTATAAAAAAAACAACAGCAAATATATATGCACATATATATTTCAAAAAAAAAAAAAGGTGCAGGTGCCAAAAAGTGAAAAAAAAACCAAACAATGCAGTGACATTTATTGAAAAAAAATAAAAAACAAAAAAGTGCCGTAACATATAATAAAAAACATACATGCATATAAAACAAAAACGGTTAATTATTCAACGTTAATTTCCATAGTAAACTTCGAAAAGTAATAATATATACTTAAAGTACCTAAAATGATTTCTGAAGAAAAAAGTCCATGTGCACCTGCAGAACTACACGCTCAAAGCAAGGTGCTACAAAACAAAAACGGGTGAAAGATATTTCATACACCAAATTTATCTCTGAGAGTGACAGTTTAATACGATACTGCATCTTCGCCGATTCAGGACAATTCTGAATCGGTATTAGAAATCACAAAGGAAAATCTTGATAAACTGTTAGACCAGTTTGAAGAAACAAAAGCAATGATTTCGGATCAATTAAAATTAATTAAAGCAATTGCACCTACTCCGCAACCGAGAGTAGAGCTGCCACAAATTCAATGTCAAGAGTCAAATTCAGGCATTCATCTCAAGGTGCCCACATGTGATACAGAAATCTTTCATGGTAGTTATGAACAATGGCCGTCTTTCCGGGACATGTTTACAGCCGTCATGCGAACTGTGCTCAGGAGCGCAAAAGCTTAAATCTTGCGAGAAATTCAAAAAATTAAAAATTAAAAATTAGGAACAATTTCGTGAGAACAAAAAAAACTTTGCACAAACTGCTTGTCACGTACGCATGTTCTATAAAAGTGTGAAAGCTAATTCAATTGCGTATATTGCCACAAAAGACATCATTCAATGTTACATAATTTTTCCAGCTCACCTCAAATTAATGTTAAAAGGGCTACAGGATTAATTGCAACAGCAGATCCAAAAAGACAGAATCCCGAAAATACCCAAGAAGCACCCTGCTGCCCAAAGGCATTAGAAACTCAAACGCTACACAGCGAAAACCAAAGTAGGGTTCTACCAGAGAACTTAGAAGAACGAGAAGGTGCAGGTTCGATAGCAAACATCTTTCTTGAGAAAAGTCGAAATTATTCTTTGTCGAGTTTATCTTCGAGAGGCATTGGGTCCTCCTGCAACATGGAACGAAATCAAAGCGAAATTATTCTTGAAAAATTAGGCCGAGCTCAGTACTTCACGATACTCGACTTAGCAAAAGGTTTTCACCAAATCCTAATAAATGAAAATGACCGAAAGAAAACCGCATTTTTCACACCATTTGGGCATTATGAATTCAAAAAGATGCCTTTCGGTTTAAAGAATGACCTTTCCAGGATTAATGAATTCGATATTAAGAGACGATATCCTAATATTTAGCACTTCTATAGAAGAGCATGTAAAAAGCATAAATAGAGTTTTCGAAAGGTTGAGAAAACAAAATTTAAAATAACAAATAGGTAAATGTAACTTCTTTGCTACAGCAAAAATACAGACCATTCAAAAACTCCAATTACCATAGAGGCAAATAAAATCTTTTCACAAGATATTTTAGGAAATTTGTGAAGAAGAAAGAAATCAGAATAAATTTAAAAGATCCACAATACGTTGACTCCATTGAAAAATTAAAAACCCTTCTAGTAAACCCGCCAATATTAAAATACCAAGATTTCCATAAAAAGTTTAAAATTTCCACTGACGCAAGTAATCATGCTATCGGAGCTGTCTTACTCCAGGATAATCATCCAGTCAGTTTCGAATTGGAAACAGATCATCAGCCGCTAGTTTAGCTTAAGTCCAAATACAATGGCAAATACATAAATCCAAGACTCCAGAGATGGCTTCTAAAATTGGGCGAGTATGACTTTAATATAAGTTATGTCAAAGGAAAACCAAATAAAGTAGCAGACTTTTTGAGTAGAATAGATGTAAATACTGGCGAAATCAATGTAATATCTGATAACACAACTCATAACAATACCAATCAGGGTCCTTCAATAGAAGAAGACAACAATGACACTATACATTCGCAAGCCGAGGAACAAAACGACCATTTCCCCATCCTAGACACAGTAGTAAACCATTTTCACACACAAATAATACTTACGCAACACAAAAACCAGGATATAAAAATTTATGATTATTTTAAAACGCAAAATTTTCTTAACTCAAGAATATATATATGGAAATATTTATTATAGCAGACATATTTAGAAGATTAAGTAGGCATTTTTTCAGAATTACCAGATAAGGAGTACAACAAGGTTCAGCAGAAATTACTAGAACTCTCCCCAGTAAGCATAACATTTTACAAATGTTCGTATCACGCTTTAGACTTAGAAACCGGACAGGAAACCTATAAGTGGATAGCGAACTACTACAATAAAGAAACAGGACACGCCGGAATAGTAGTAAACTATGAAGCGCTGAAGAGAGCAATATACTATAAGGATCTGAAGAAACTGATTCAAAAATATATTAACTGTGATTAACAAAAAAACAAAGTTTCCTAACGTTCATTGACCAATTTTCTAAACACGCTGTAATATTGTACTTGGATGATCGAAATCATATCACCATAATAGAAAAACTACGTCTATACCTTTTACTAATGGCTTTCCCATGAAAGTTTATACTGGACAACGAATTCAATTCAGTAAACATTAAAGATTTTTTAAACGAACAATCAGTAGAGGAACACTACACAAAGCCAAATAGCCATTCAGGGCACGCCGACATTGAAAGGTTTCACAGTTCTTTAGGCGAAAAGATGAGAATTTTAGAAATAGAAGAACCCAGACTGACAACTCAAGAGAAAATGTGCAAAAGCTTAGAATGGCACAACAACTCCTTTCACTCAACTATAAAATCTTTAGGAGTATAGGGGCCCCATGGCTGCAACGTTTTCTATGGAGTTGATGGCCCACCGGAAGACTCCCCTTTCAAAGCGAACAATGTCGATTTTGAACATCAACCTGTTCGAGATCGACGACAGAAT